GCAACATGGACAGTGGGATCGAGTGCACCCTCAGTAAGTTTGCCAACGACACCAAGCTATGTGGTGTGGTCAACACACTGGAGGGAAGGGATGCCATCCAGATGGACCTTGACAGGCTTGAGAGGTGGGTCCGTGCGAACCTCATGAAGTTCAACAAGGCCAAGCGCAAGGTCCTGCACACAGGTTGGGGCAAACCCAAGCACAAATATAGGCTGGGCAATGAGTGGATTGAGAGCAGCCCTGAGGAGAAGGCACTGGGGGTATTAGCAGATGAAAAACTGAATCTGAGCCAGCAATGTGCGCTTGCAGCCCAGAAAGCCAATTGTATCCTCGGCTGCATCAGAGGAATTGTGGCTAGCAGGTCGAGGGAGGTGACTTTCCCCACCTACTCTGCCCTCGTGAGACCCCACCTGCAGTCCTGTGTTCAGCTCTGGGGCCCCCAGCATCAGAAGGACATGGATCTACTTGAGTGAGTCCAGAGGAGGTCCACAAAGATGATCAGAGGGCTGGAGAGCCTCTCCTATGAGGACAGGCTGAGAGAGTTGGGGTTGTTCACCCTGGAGAAGAGAAGGCTCTGGGGAGACGTTACAGCAGCCTTCCGGTACCTAAAGGGGGCTTGCAGGAAAGAAGGGGAGGGACTCTTTATCAGGGAGTGTGGTGACAGGACAAGGGGTAACAGTTTTAAACTGAAAGAGGGTAGTTTTAGATTAGACATAAGGAAGAAATTCTTCACTGTGAGGGTGGTGAGGCACTGGAACAGGTTGCCCAGACAGGTAGTGGATGCCCCATCTGTGGGAGTGTTCAAGGCCAGGTTGGATGGGGCTTTGAGCAACCTGGTCTAGTGGAAGGTGTCCCTGCCCATGGTAGGGAGGTTGGAACGAGATGATCTTTAAGGTCCCTTCCAACCTAAAACATTCTATGATTTATCCTACTTGTTTGTTTTGTTTTTTCTACACTACTGCATAAACCCTCCCATCTAAGCTTTTTGTACAAGCTACTGACTTTACATGGGGTAAAGTTTAGCAGCAGTAGAAAAAGATATGGTTCCAAAGATTCTTCTTTTCTCTTAAATTCTGACATGCACTTCTTCATTATAACCTTCACAGGCATTCTCCTCTATTCTTCTTCCCACACCAATCCTTCAAAAAGTGTCTGTACTATCACTATAAAAGTACAGTCATTCCATCTCCAGAAAGCAGCAAATCAGCTGAAATGTTTTTATCTAAAAGCTGCTAAATTCCACAGAATTGCTTTTCTAAGAAAAAAATTTATTGTAATGAAATGATGGTAATCACTGCAGTTTGTCTTCAATGTGGATTTTTCCCCCAGGCACATCCTGCCTGGATTAGATTCTTTGTCTACAAAATGTTCCTCTTATAAAGTCTGTACTACACTTCAAAAAAAATTTTAAAAATCCACCCCTCACTGTTTAATATCCTCAAAGAATGATGCATAATGTTCTTGGTGGCGGCAGGGGGGAAGTTTGCTTAAATGTTTCATCCGGAAATGTAAACAGCTGAGTTCTTACCTTGTTATCTCAATGTCACAATGAGAACTTTGTGTTAAGGACTCACATCTTTCAACTGTTATGCACTTTTATGCTTCTTGTTTCGTTTCACTAAATATCAGGCAACTTGTTTTGCCTACTGTAAGTATAGAAGCTGTCCCCTAAAATCGAAATTTAAAGAGACATGCATGAAAGAATAGCAACAGTGCATTAACAAAGCATGTTTCTGAAATCTTCACAGCGCTTTAAAAACATTGCACTGGGCCCCACTCTTAGCTTTCCTACTGGCTGTGCTTACACCAGCAAATTCAAAGACTTAAATTCATCATCACTGCTCCTGATTGTTGCAGCAGCAGTATTGTCACGGCTGCTACTACAATCATATATGCTTTACCTTACCGGAGATCAAAACCAACACCTAGCTGTGGTAGAGAGAAAGTTATAAACACAGGGACCAAAGAAAATTCCTGCAGGGTCAACCGTTGTGTCTGGTTTGGGATGTGGGCCTGGTATCTGTGGTGTTTTGGACTCAGGCTACTGAATTTTCTTCCACTGGAAGCTGAAAGAGTGCAGTCCACGCAGGGCTAGCACACCAAGTCCTGCTCCAGGTCTCTGGTCACTGCAACGCTTCCAAGGAGAACACCCCACTTACAGCATCTTCCTCACAAACCAAGTGGAATATGTATTTGTAAATGTATACGTATTTGTATTCCTTAATGACAAATACAGAAAGCTTACGTAACCGCTAGCACTCTCCACAATCTATTCCCTTATGTCTTAAAATCACTTTCTATTTGAACTTAAGGGCAAGAATGTTAAATCAGCTGCACTAAACATCAGGAGATCTTCAGGAAGAAGATCTTCAGATCATCAGGAAGCAAGTACTTCTGATTAGCTTTATTCGTGTGTCTAAAACCAGTAAAACAAAGACCTACAGCATGTACAGCGCACACCTCTTCTGTTTAGTAACACACACAGTGAAAAACAATCCAGAGGGACAGCCACAACCTTGATATTTTAAATGAACTCTATTAATCTCTATTTATTTTACCTTCTACTGTTACTACTAGTAGACACCAACATCAATTACAAGGGGAAGCAGAAAATAAAGCTTTATTTTTCCCATTACTTTCCCTTATGTGTTTTGCAGAACTTTGTATGTGAAGTTACACTGATGCTAAGCTGGGTTGGTATTCATACAGGTATGCACTAGGTATTTGGTAGTCTCCAATGAGAATAAAAGAAAGGAAAACACTGAAAAAAAAGGAATCTTATTGTAAAGCCATAAAACTAGCTGTAAGAACATTCTTAGCAACCTGAAGGTACCCTCCAATCTATTTTGAAAGACTGCTTATATTTCCAGTTGATTGCATCTATTCACAACTGTGTAGTGATAAAAATATGGAACACCTGCCTCTGTGTAGTCATTTTGCTTTAAGTAGGGAAACTGCAAGCAAAAGTAGACTTGAAATTGAGTTGTAAAGGCAGAAAGAACTCCTGTAGTCTTTGCTAGGAAATTAATTAAAACATTCTAGGCTACAAGAGTATAATACTGCTTACACTAGTATGCGGAAGATGGACTGTAATGTTTCCCAGACTATTCCAATTATCACTTTTACTGTATTTGCCAGTCATGTCCCTAAAATCTCTTTATTTGATCTAAGATATGAAGTTTTACAAAATGTATTAGGCAGTAGGTTGAATGCAAATACATCAAGTAATATTTTTTTTTTTAATGACCTGAGAGAAGGAGTATGGGAAGTAATCCATAGTGAAACAGTTGTAGTCATCACTTTCTGCAGGTTTTACTTGTGGAGATTTCCCTAAGATAATCAGTAAATTGATTTATACTCTTGAACAGGTTTAGAGCCTGGGTCACTGGAAAAATCAATACCACTTTCTGTCTTGGCAACCACTCATCAGGCAATTTTGTTAGAAAGGAAAACAGGAGGTGAGTTGTTCAAGTATGTAAGTGATGAAGAGCATCTCTGAAGTTTTTTAATCTAGTGAGAGAATACACATCTTTCTTCTAATCAGATGCAAAATGTAAGTCAAGTAACACAGCCTCACTGAATTTTGAATTGTTTACTATACTGACCCATAAGTCAACAACTGCTGGCTTACCAGCAGGTGCTACAGCTCACGGATCTGACAGAAGTTACTAGGAGCCAGCTTTGGCTCCTGCAACTACTGCTACTACTTTCTCAAGCACATAAAAGCAGAATAGCCATCCCTCCCTTAGCAGGGAATGTAGTTGAGAAATTGGTTTCTTCAGTGCTACGCTAGTCCTGGGTATGCTGGGAGGCACCATCTAGGTGGCTGTGTGTTTTGGTGCTTTGGCTTTCTATTTCTGTTCTTTTCCCTGGGCTGCAGCTTTGGGTCTTATTGCTTCAATCTGCTTGTTATGCTGGTGTGTTTTCTCACAGCAGTGATGTTTTTATCCCTTCTTATAAAAGTGTCTGAGGCATTTGTGTGCCTTTATGGACTATAAAAGAAGTTTAAGTGATGAGCCCAAAATGTCTGAGCAATAGATGGCTATATCAAGATGAGATAAAACACTCATGGGGTATTTACAGCTCCCAGGTTGCAAGTATACTTAGTCTACAGGCCCTGAGAAAGAGTACGCTTTAAAAAAAAAAAAAGACAAAACCTGTAAATGCTATGCTATTGCAATGGTTGTTGGGGTTAGTTTTTGTTGGTGGTTTTTGGGCTGGGTTTTTTTGGGTGGGTTGGGGGGGCTGCTCTCTAGTATACTGTATCTGTAGGAAATCAACAGGATGAGCCAGGCTAGATGAAAGAATGTGCTTGCTTCTGAAAGCAGTTAGCGTATGTGTTCAGGCAGTTCTGTGTAAGCTATGTGCTAGCCTCACAGGACCTAAGAAACACGTAAACCACACCTGCCTCTTGAAGCGTTGTCTGTGAAAACGCTCTGGAAACTGAGTTAAGTCGTGTAACACGAGTTGGCTTTTTTCCCCTCATCTTAACAAATGACCAAGGTGAGCTTCTGAGAAGATGCAAGCTTTTACACCGCTGTTCAGGACTGACCTGTGGCTGCTTCATGTGCCTCTACGTGGCTTCTACCACAGTCTGTACTGGTACAGAAGGCGGGAATCTCGGCCCTCGGCTGAGGCGTACAGCCGCCGCCTGAGCAACTCCCGTGCAGGCTGCGACACTGAGGGACAGCTTAGCTCACGGAGAAAACAGTGAATTAAGGGCTTGACGAATGCCACACTAGCTCTGCGGCCGCTTGGGAGACCCTCATATTCCTATTCGGAGGGCGCAGGACCTACGAGCCATCACCTTCCTCCCGCCTTCCCCCTCAGGACGCCAACGCCTGCGTCACGCCAGGCGGCACGTGCCCCCCCCACCCCGGGCTCGCCCAATCCGCTTCCGCGGGCGGCTCGCGCAGCGGATTCAAACGGCGGCGGCCGTTGGGCTGCGCGGAGCAGGGCGGGCGGCCGGCCGGAGGGGGGACGGGCTGCGCCACAGCGAGATGGAGAGCCGGCCGGCCGCCCCGGGGCCCTACCGCGCCACCAAGCTGGTGAGGATCGGCGGGCTTGGGGGTGCGGAGCCGGCCGGGGCGGCCTGGCCGTGGGCTTTGGGTTTTACGGGCCGCGCTCGGTGCGGGTTTGTGGGGTGGGAGGAGGGGGAGGAAAGTCGGTTGCTGCCGCGGGTCCCGGGCCTCCCGTCAGCCCGGGTCTCTGCCTCATGGGTGAAGCACAAATTAATATTAACCGCTGCCACCCAACGTAAGGGACCCCGAGACCCTCCCTGGTTAGGGCCTGCGGCGGTGGCAGTGCCTTGCGCCTTGAAAACGGGGCGACAGCTTGGGAAGAGGAGCCCGCTAATTATAACATGTCACCTCAATTTGTGCGAATAAATAGGGAAGGAGGAAAATACTTTAAAACTGGTTTTTATGTACTCTGATAGCTGGATTCGTGTTGCGTCTGAGCGCTGCTCCAAATTTGAAGGCTGTGGTTTGACAGTGCCTCGGGAGACGCCGTTGATGTAAATGCTGGGCATGTGCGGACTGGGTCAATAAAACTCGTTATGTTTGTGAAACTCTAACCTTGTTTTCGGTTACAGAAGAATGAGATAAAAACCCAAGTGAAATGTCTACGTGTTCTTTAATCTGAACTTTAACGTTTCTATATTAATACTACTACTGCGTTATTTAGTGTAACTATCAATCTTTGTTAGTATTAATGTTGTGACTTCATTTATATGCTTATAGTCAATAATATTGCTTTAATTGATACTTAAAATGATCAACTTCAGGCTTTAATCTCACACTCTCTGCTGTTTTGTTTCCCATACAGTGGAATGAAATTACAAAGTATTTCCGAGCGGGCATGCCATTAAGGAAACACAGGCAACATTTCAAAAAACATGGAAGCTGTTTTACTGCGTCAGAAGCTGTAGAATGGCTCCATGAAGTATTAAGGAATAACAGTAACTTTGGTCCTGAAGTTACTAGGCAGCAGACTGTTCAGTTATTAAGAAAGTTTCTCAAGAATCATGTAATTGAAGATATAAAAGGGAGATGGGGATCTGAAAACTTAGAAGACAATGGTGTGCTGTACAGGTACTGCAATGAAGACCAGTTAAAAGAGCTCTTCAGGTTGAGAACCGTATTTAAAAATCTGAGTGCTCAGATTCTCAAAAATATCTTGCTTTGAGTTGAGCAGTTAGGCCAAAACTCAATTATTAGCACCATTTTACTCACTGTTTTACTTTACTCCGACTTGCAGTATCAACCATATATCCTGTATGCTGAGGGCTGTTTCCGTGCTTTTGTCTAGCCAAGTTTTTCAGTGGCATGCATGCTACTCTCAAGTGCTTTGGAGGGGAGCCAAGGGGAATTTACTGTAGCAGCTGCATGCTGTGCTACCAGTCCTGTGTTTACTTCTCTTGTACGTTTTGCAGAAAGTCCAAGTGGGAAACAGTCTTTCCTAAGTCATTAAATTAAAGGTATTAATGGCCCTCACTTCTCAAATTCTGCTCTCAGTGCTGTATAAATATTTGAGTATCTTCAACTTGACTTTGGAATCAAGAAAAGTAGCCCAAAGCTAATTTATAGTATGAAAACGTTAAACAGTGTTCTGAAGAGAAAATTTCACCATCTTTTCTTTTTACTTTCCTGAATCTTTTCGCAATCTTAGGGAATTACACTGATAGGGTACGGTTTTCATTAAGTGACTTCTTATATTTTTAATCTATTCTAAATGTATTTAACATCTCTCCTATTCATTACAGATTTCCTTCAACATCTCCAGTTAAACCTCTACCAAGTTCATGTCCACCAAAGGAGAACTTGGAAAACTTCTCTAGAGACAAAGAAAGACTTTTTAAACTGCCGCATTTATCCAGGAGAACTTTTAAAAAACATGAGTTACTACAGTCTCTGGTAATAACTTGCCTTTCTTACATAATTGTAGTTGCCATGTAATTTCTTTATTCTTGAAAGAAGCAAACACCCAGAAGCAATCATCTTTTAGTGAAACTGTTCTGTTGTGTCATCTTCCCTTCTAGCTGAAAAAATGTATTGGTAGGTTCTTCTAGATAGTGAAATAGAACATTTATGTTGGTATTATAGAAAGATGCAGTTATATTTTATAATGAAGTGTCTTGGTGACATGTGCTGTTTCTCTTCTTGCATGTACAAAAAGAAATTTTGCTAAATGGCCCATAAATATTCAAGCAAAACTGTAACACGGCATTTTTGAAACCCTGTCAGCAAGTGAAAGGGATTATGCATTTGACAGGAGAAATTAAGTATGCTCTTAAACCTGTAAGAAGCTGTTTTCTAATCTTTGTATTGTCAATAGGTTTGTTGGGAAGGGAAATTGGGGTAGGGGTGTTGGTAAAGTGTTATTGATGCAGCCATGTTACCTAAGCAGAAAGAAGGGTCATTTGACCCCCCCATCCACTGTAGTATAGGGCTAATTTTGCATCAATATGATCTGGGATTACACAGAGTTTTAGTTGTGTATATATGTGTAAGCAATTGAGCATCTTGTGTCATCAGTATGGGAGGTATTTTTGTTTTCTTTTGGATTGTTTTGTTTGTTTTGTCTCCTTCAGTGCAGAATTATGCCTGCTACAGTATTTTAAAGAATTAGGAGGGCTGGAAGGTGGAGTTCTAGAAATTATTGGGACAATATGTTCCTGTTGAAACTTAATATATTTTTTTCATTTAGGACAAGTAAAAGGCACAAATTATTTAACTGTTCTGCTTACTTTTTGAAAAAGATTCAATGTGAGTGTTTAGCCCTTTATTCTTTGAGATTTGGGGATATGTACGTACTTTCTGAATTTAGACTGTGATCCTAAAGGAGAATACTTCGCCTACTAATACATTTGGATTTGATGTATTTCTATCTTTTAAAGTGCTGACTTCTGAGTTGATTAGGTCTTTTTCATAGTGTCTTTTTTTGCTTTTAGTTGGGTATGCTTACATTTCAGTGCTGAGACTGTTAAGGTTACTCCCTTGATCGTGTTTTAGAATTTAATATTCTGCAGAATGCCCTAGACTTTTGAGAACAATTTTTACTTAATTTTGAATTATCTTAAGAGGCTTGTTTATCTTACTGTAGAAACCACTCATTTTCAGGAAAACTTAGAAAAAACAAACCCAGATGTAATAGAGGAAAATAAGGAAGACATTCTGCATAGGAAGGAAATAAGCCACGAATATGTGCAAGAAACTTGGAGAAATATAATTCTAATACAGTAAGTATTAAATTGTAAAAAGTACCTTCTTGTATATGTGCTTTGGGCATGTAATGGCCCAATCAAGGTTTTGGCTTGCAAATTTTAAAATTATGTTTCAGGTTTAATGTTTTTTACTAACTATTGTTTACATATGCTTTCTCATGTATTTATTAACATTGGATTGTTGTATTTAAGAAACTTTTTGAAATCTATTGTTGCTGGTGTTGAAGTATATTTCAAGTATCATAGATGCTCGTTCTTAATGGGTTTTGGTGTTTGTCCCAGGAAAAAGTGTGTCCTCAAATTGTCCTTCTGCAAGCGTGAATTTATTTAACAGCAAACTAGCTTATCAAGTAACTGGTGTTTGAATAGTACAGAAAGAACTTGTTTTCATTCATTACTAGCAAACCTTTTAGACAACATCTGCTCTTTTCCACCCCACAGTTTGCAAACCATTTTAGGCATCCCATCTTTGGAAGAAGTCTTGCAGCCAACACAGATAGTTCCTGAGTATGTCATATACAATATGACTAACACGAGCAAACACGGTGTTGTTATTTTGCAGAACAAATCAGGTAAGATTTTGTTTGTTTGTTTCCTGTTTTTGCTTAAAGATTCTGTATGGTGCATTGTAACAAACAGTAAATGATATTTAAAGTAATATGTTTCATGGTCTGTCTCTTACACTTTTTTCCAAACTAGAGTACAGTTCAGTATGTTTGTTTAGAAGGTTTTGTAAGTGTATTGCATTCACACTTAGATTACATGTGTGTAGCAATATTTGAAATTAGTTTTAAATTTGATCTTTTATATTATTACATGTGTGCCATTATTTGTACTAGTTAAGTCTTTGGGTTTATGTATAAATACTGTACTTGTTTGTTTCTTTTAGAAGACCTCCCTCACTGGGTGTTGTCAGCTATGAAATGCCTCGCATACTGTAAGTCACTGAATAGCTTTCAAGTTCCAGAAACCTATTTTGAGGTGAAAGTGAAATATACTTGCATGTTAATGTCAATCATGATGTTTCATTTTGGAAATCCAAATAATCTAAGTGCCTTGATCTGTTGAGAAGGGATGAAAGCAATACATGGCAAATTACTGCACAAAAATGTAACCTAAATGTTAACATATATTAAATATGTTATATTTCAGGCAATCAAGATATCAGTCCTTTAGGAGTCTAGCTAGTTATCCTGCTTTTAGGTTGCATCGTCTGATTCTGCATATGAGTTTTTGGCAATGTGAACAGATTAAATTAGTGGAAGAAGAGGGGCTTCGGTGTTCCTTAATCCATGAAATGTATGGGAGAATTAATTAAACTCTAAGCTTTCAGTGGAAGCATGCTGTCTGAGGACATGAAAAAGTTAAGGACTGTTTTTTACACAAATAATTCCTATTAACAAAGAGTCAGGCAGGGAGAAAACTTGAGTGGTTGGGCAAAACATGTGTGGTTTCTTCTAATGCAGGTTTTCAGAAGTAAAGGGACTTTCCTTTTCCAGTTACTGGCTTTGAGCTGGACTAAAACACTTCCTGCATCTCATATTAAACTGGGGAGGCCAATTCACAGAAAACCAGTTGTCTTGGAAGAAATCAAACAAAATTTTGCAAAGGATTTGAGACAAAAGCATGCTCCTATAGTCAGCTTTATTACTAAATTTGTCACAAGAACAGAAGGAAGAGTTCCACTCACTTGTTCTTGGATCCTGGACTTGGAGTATAGCTCCTCTGGTACTTCCTTATCTGCTTCCCCACCTTTTTCTTAAACTGTCTTTAGAAAAAGCTTATGCTTAAAACCCAGTAAGATACCTTTATAGTTCAGCTGTGGAAAATGAAGGCCTTCAATGCCTTACCAATCACTGCGTGGCAGATGAGATGGATTTTTAAAGTCAGACATTTTAGCTGTTAAATGTGTTGTGTGACAGAACTGAACTTTCATTGTTTGCAGATGGAGAGTCAGTCTGCATGCCTCCCTTATTTTGGTATTAATGTATGAAATATCAAGCAGCGAAACTGAAAGTGGTTATAACTTACAGAAAACCTAGTGCTTCTCTGTTTTGTTTTCTTTGTGTATCTGCTTAAATGTAAAATTTAGTAAGGTGTGATGTTAAATCTTAAGCTTCAGAAAAGAAGCATCAGTTACCTAAGGCATTAGTGTTATGTGTACTTGAGCAGCTGCCTTGGAATTACTGGGAATGTATTTACTGTGGAGTAATACAATTAACATAGGTTTTCACACATGGAGGGAGTGGGGGAGTACTTTCTCAGTGAAGCTATGAAGTTCAGTTTTTAATGGCTCAGTCTGATGTGGATTCTCTTGCTAATAAAGGAGTGGTTTTGTTCTTCAGCATGTGCTGTAGCAGACTTGTGTGGTACTAATCACCTTTTTCCTTTACAGTGCCATTGATTTTTATGCAGCTTCACAGAATCTAACTGCCTTTGAGGCTTCCTTTGTCAGATGTGTTTGAAATTGTGTTACAAACACATACAGATCACAATTTGTAAGCTTTGCATCTCTATGAAGCAGGCTTTGAAAAGATTCTGGAGAAGCAGAGGACAATTAGACTGACCTTCCCCCCCCCAAAAAAAAAAAACAAACCAACCCTGCCTCTTTAAATGGCTAACAGGGCATGCTAGACTTAGATGAGTGCCTCAAATGAAATCAGAGATGATGAGCTCTTTTTATATGTGTGCTTGCCCTGCTGTTTAAGTCTTGCCCTGATTCCTGGCCATCTCCTTCATTGGTTCCCCTCAAAGCTATAGTAGCTATAACATGGTTGGATGGTGTTTATACATCAGTATATATCTCTAGCTGCTCAGTGGAACCGTGGTAGGAGTCCATGCAGGGTTAGTGTGGTTTCAGAAGTTCAGTTTGCAGCATATGCGCTTGTGAAAATGACACACACGCCCTTTTTTTTTTTTTTCCTTCAACATGACACTTTTTCTTCAGCTGCATTCCCAAATATATAGAGCCTCTTACCTGAAGAGCACTGTTAGGTAAAGCAGAACAGGGAAGAGCTTGGTGAGTGGATTTAAGTCAAAGTGGAAAAAGTAGCTGAGCACTGGTCTTTGAGCATTTCAATACCTTAATTCTCACATCAGTACTGTATTTAGAACTGATAGGTCTTTGTATTCATGAGATGAAAACTGCAGGCAACCTTTCTGGTTTTTTTGAATTCTCAATTTCTAATTTGAGTGGATTAGCTCAAGTGGAGATTTTATCTCTGCATCTGCTAGCTATACTGTAACCAAATGATTAAGGCGGTAGTTACTTTGCGCAGTGAAAACTAAAAATATGTACACTGGCAGGGGGAATACTGCTCTACTACATATATATTTTAGTGTAGTAATGTGATTATGATTATAAAGGTTGATCATATCAAAAGTTAAATTTTCCCTGGTTCTATGTGTAATTAAAACTGCCATCTCCTAATTCATTACAATTGGCTTTGTAAGGTAGCTTATTTAATTTGTAGGAGTTCAGTGGAGTATGATAACATTAGGGTTAAAAGATCTGTACAATGTCAAATTTTATTCATACCTGGACCCCTTTCATTCATTCTTTTTCTTGTCTGTAGCAACGTGGTCAAGGTTTATTAACCAGATCTCCTGGATTATTGGATTGTTTATCTGTCCACTTCTGAAGAAAAGATCCACCATGGGAGTAGTGGTGAACAAAACTTTCTCTTGGTGAACCGTTTGAATAGAGGAGTTGTAAAGAGGAGGTCCCCACAAAGGGAAAAGATGCTGACCAGCTCTGTTCGGCCTATGCGTAAAGCAACATGTATATATATATTGTTGGGCTTCTCAGCACACTCTTCCAAGTTGGTCATAGCATAAGCTCCTTGATCTGGAAGCTAGAGCTCCCTGTGGGAGAACTGAGATTACTGTAGTTTGGAAGTTTGTGATTATCTTGCTGAGGAACCTATAAAGGGCATAAATGAGTTTTTTTTTATTTCCTTGGTGTGGAACAGCATGTTGAAACTGAGCACAACTCCTCAGTGGCTATATAGAATATTTTATACTGTTTTTGCTTACAAGTGGTATAGTGCTGAACTAAACTAAATATTTGTATATTGCTGGCATGGTTCTTTTCTTGTGAAACAGTCATTCCTACAAGAACAAACTTATGTTCACTTTTTAATTTTATTTTTTTTAATAATGGAGTTGTGAGAGTAAATACTTTTGTGAATTTTCTTTCTTCACCTCTTTTTAGGGCCTAGAAATAATGACATGAGCCAACCAACTTACAGTGGGTTTGAACGGGATGTATTCAGAACAGTTGCTGATTACTTTCTCAATCTCCCTGAACCATTACTTACTTTTGAATACTATGAACTTTTTGTTAATATTTTAGGTATGTATGAATTTAGAAATAATCAGTGCAAGCTATAAGTTTATATCAATTGGGGAACAAATCTGTAATTCAAAGCAGACCTTGACCCCCTAATCTGTATGGCAGCTTGAATCTGAGGAATATCATCAATACTATCATTCTGTATTACAATATTAACTGAAATGCAGCTCTGTCTCATAATATCCTATATAAATTGCTGTCTGAGCTAACATTCTAAATATGCAATAACCATAATTTAAAAATATGTGCTTGTTCTGCCAGTTCCTCACTATTGCAGTGTTAACTTTATTCTTGCCTGTTGGTTGCAGTTATCTTGTTACATTGCTTTTGGACTGAGCTAAATTTTTCTTAGGCTTTACTAACTGAGTCAACTATAAATTAGTGTCTCTGTATTTGTTGTCTTCTCTGCTCAGTTAGCAACTTTCTTTCTGAGCTTGTTCATTTTCATACCACTTGCATCTTAACTTATATTTCATTTTCTGATAGTTATGTGTGGCTACATCACAATTCCAGATATATGCAGTGGAAAACATTCTGTCCAAGATGAGAAATGTGACCCACAACCTTCAAAAACTCTTCACTTGAACTCTTTCAAGTCAACTGAGTGTCTTCTTCTAAGCCTGCTTTGCAAAGAGCCTGACAAAAAAAAGAAAGACTATGAAGCTTCCAGGAAGTCTTCTTCAGAAGAGCTAGCTATTGAAAAACAATGTGCAAAGAAATTGCAGCAATATAAACTGACATGTAAACAAGGTAGTGCTGATAATCTAATAGGAGGAAGTTGTCAAAATCTTTCAGGTTTCAGGAATGAACAAGATCCACCTCAAGCATTTAGGACAAGATGTTACTCTTTGGAAAGAATTGGACATGCTACTTCAAGTGTATGTAATAAAGGAGAAGCTGATTCCCTCAGGCAAAGTGATGTGAACACCATCCTGGGCACAAGAAATGGAAAACAGTCACTACCATATGAGCATAAAGCTAATTCTGTACTGGGGCTTGGTTTTGATAACACATGTCAAAAACAAACCCATGGTATCAAGAGAGTGTCTGCCTCAACTCTTCAGAATAAAGAGCTATATAATGAAAAGCACGGATCGAAGCAAATATGTAGGTCTCTGAGTTTACTTGGCAAGAGGGACTCCAAAAGTTGCACTAGCATTAATGTACCAGTTGCTGAAATCACAGTAAAGCCAAGGTCTCAACTTTGTGGGCAAGGAAAACCAAATACCTCTGGTGTGGCTTCTTCAGTGGACGTCAGGACTGAGGTTTCTGATATCACCATCAAAAAAAGACTCTGCAAAAGTACCACAGAACTCTCAGAATACTCTTTCACTCACTCTTATATGTTGACTGGCACGCAAAGTAAGATGGCTTTCTGAAGCATGTTGTATTGGCTTATTGCGTTGTCTAACTAATCTTTGCTTCCTTAATCTTTGGCACTGTTGCTAGGTTTTTTGATATGCATATAACATCACCTATGGGGCTTTAAAAAAAAAAAAATTCTGGTTGCTACATTGCTCTGTCTAACGGCAGTCTTTCCTATCTCTGCTAACAAACAGTAGCATGTAGTATCTTTGGAGTCTTAAACTTGATGTGTCAGTAATTCACCCTTCTGTTCAGGTAAGTCATAAGAAATTCTGACCTAGACACTGTTTAAGAGTGAGGCAGGGCATTTGCACAGACCTGCCTGTTGAAGGAGATGTCTTTTTCCGGTCTTTGAAACACGTTTTCTGGAAGTAGTTCTGTGAATAATGTTAGTGTCACTTCTTAATTGTACTAGCAGTTTATCATAATGAAGCAAGTTGAGTGTGACCACACAAAAAAAGGCCACATAACATTATCTACTATGTTACAGCTGATTTCTATGAAACATAGATTATTGTCCTTGAAAAAAAAAAGAAATTTCTGGTACTGAGAGAAAAATATCCTAAAAGTTTGTTCAAGTCTTAATGACAGCCGTCTTTAACTTGTAGATCTCCTTCAGCCTCATTTAGAAAGAATTGCCATTGAAGCACTACAGATATGTTGTTTGTTGCTTCCACCACCAAATCGTAGAAAGATTCAGCTTCTAATGCGTATGATCTCTCGGATCAGTGAAAATGTTGATATGCCACGACTGCATGATGCAATGGGCACACGTTCTTTGGTAAGAGAATGATGAGTGCAGTTATTTCTATGTTTTTTTTAAGAATATTGCTGAAGTAACGCTAAGAATGCTAGCTGTATTTCGTACTTGAGGTTCTTGGCTCATTGCAATTAAATAGTGATTAACGGGCAATTTTTCATGTCCAGAATATTTACAAAATCCTGATTTGAAGCAAGTGCTTTCTTGTCTCCATCCTAATATATTTCAATTATTAGTGTTGCTTTTGTTTAGTTTGGGAGGAGAAGGGAAATAATTTCTTAAGAGTGCAAATGATTGTTTAGTCTGATTTCTCACCTAACTGCCATTTAACTTAAAAGGTGTTGGCAAAGTGTCTGTAGAAAACCTTTCTTGGGCTGAACACTTGTGTATGTGAAGTTATGACAAAAACGGTTCCAAAGAAGTAAATTGATTGCCTAGTGAGTTTAAAGACTAGCTTTCAAGGTCTGAGTTCAAGCTTTCATTGGAATGACTAATGATTTTTTGTCAAGCAAGATGAGGTAAAACAGCAAAGTATCTGCACATGCTAATTTAAAATAAGCCTACTAAAAGCTGGAAATATGAAAGCTGTAAAAATGTTTTTTAAAGCTATTTAAAACTGGATCTTGGTGTGCATTAGGTCTTGGTTAAGTTGGCTCTGCAGGGTTTTTTTAATCACCTCACTTGTCTCAAGATGGCTAATTGAAGATGTACACTTTTCTACAGGGGAAGACTTTTTCTTATTATTACCTCTTTAAATATGTATTTCTTAATTGAAAGTACTGTTCAATCCAAAAACAGTACAAGTCTAATGTTATAAGAAGGTACTTTATTTCAGATGAGGAAAAAATTATAATTGGTTTTCTTCCTCTCTTGACCAGTGGTGCAGGCAAGAGAGATTGCAATGAAAGTTGGTATTGGAGGATTCATTGTGCCACTTGTGTAGACTGGAAAGAAGGCAAATCCCTCAACTTCACGTACTAATGATCTGCTAAACACTTCTAGATGATACAGACTTTTTCTCGATGCGTGCTATGCTGTGCAGAAGAAGTAGATCTTGATGAGCTGCTTTCTACACGATTAGTTTCATTTCTAATGGACCATCAACAAGAAATATTTAAAGTACCAACTTACCTGCAGGTTGCAGTGCGAGATCACATAGAATACGTGAAGATGGCTCAGGTTGGTGGCATGACAGAAGTTTAAGTTCATTTGCTAATTGCAGAGTATTTGTTACTTCTGAAGGTGGGATGGGAAAACTGCAAATAAACCCACTATATTTTGAATGTAAACTTTTATTAAACTGTTGGTGCAATCATAGATACTAGCTACGTTACAATGTTTTGCGACTCATGATGTTGCTGTAAGTTAGTATGCTTGGATATTTCTTGGGTACCTTCTTACTGAAGTAGTACATAATCATTTGAGTATATGCAGACCCTTCAACTCTTGTTTCAGTGCAAACATCCAAAGGAAGAAATTTGTGCCATATTGCCAACATATTCATACTGCAAACAAATAACTCCTCAGGAGTTTGAAGAACAAAAGGTTTCTACCTCTCAAGCTGCAGTGACAGAGCTCTTAGAGAACATTATCAAAGATAAAAACCTGTCTGTAAAAGACAAAAAGAAAAAGTTAAAACAGGTAAGAAACTTGGTGGATATTTCTTCTGCTTCTGAAAACACCTTTTTGAGGGAAGGATCTCAGTCACTAGACCCTGGTACAGAACAAGAGCAGACTGTTGTTACATTAGAGGGTAAAGAAGTTTGGCAGAAAATAAACCCCTTTGCATTCCAGCTTGTCCTCAGATATCAGAGGGGCTAGGCGCGGCTAGGCTTAGATTCTGAGTGATGCCCAGTTTGACACTGTAAGTCCAGTCGCATTCAATATATTGAACTACCTCGATCACAGATACACAAATAGCGCGATGTACTTTCAGTCTAGTCGTGTTCAATGAACTAACATGGCCAGACTTAAGGAGCTTGGTCGCATTCAGTGAGAACCCTCACAGCTAGATTAATCAATCATGCAGTTTATTGAAGCAACAGAAGTACAGGTTCTTTTGGAATGCTGGTGATAAATACACTGTCTGCAAAGCACACGCAAATAATAATACAGTCGACTGCAAGCACACTAAATTATGGAAAAAGATTTCTGAGTTTCCCAGGGAAGCACTCGGTATAACTGAGGGTTCAAATCTCACCCAACAGGCGTCCCTGTGGGGGGGAAGAGAGGTTCAGCCTGTCAGCTGATCCCAGAAATCAGTGATGTCCTCCTGACTTGTCTATGATGGTGTTTTCCCTAGCATTCCTCCTCTCTAAAGCCATTTTAATACTATTTTCTTATTTTTAGGTGGAGCTTGAGTGATTCTAGTCATACATACCTTTATTATGATTGGTGTAAAGTCTTCTTGCTTTACTTCTGAAGGTATAAGCTAGAGAAATTCAGAGCGCGTGCTCAGTGAGGAGTGGTCGCACCTTGAAGGCGGGTAGCCTTTGGGACAGAGGTGTGTTTTGGTATTATAATGAGCGAATTTTATCCAGAGGACTTGACTGACAGAAAATGGAAAAATGCTGGTGCAAGGCTGGCTCAGGATAACAACCATGCGGTTTATCAGTTCCATAGTGCCATCCAGTTCCCGTCCCTGTGATGATATCCCAGAGCCTGGCCACAGTGTTTCCACTCCGCTCCACCTCCCATGTTGTTTCTCAGAGTCAGCAAACCAAGCTCCCCTGGTGTTGCTAACATCTAAGGTTGCAGGTTATGTTGCTTAGGGAATTACTATGGAACAGATTCCTTGCATATCCACTGCATTCCGCCCTGGAGGTTTATCTTCTCTTAAGAGGTGGGCGTATCAATAAGTCAGCTCCAGCAATCATTTCACAACTGTATAGAGAGAAATGCTCGTTTTATAGAAGAGAGCTGTTTAATGTGTTTTGACTGTGTGCTCTGATTGGGATTTTAAAGATGGTGTCTAATACAGTATTTGATACTGTCTGGCAGCAGTGGTGTTCAAATAATGGTTTAAAACCAGTATAAAATTATTCTAAGATACTGCTTTCCATTACATAATGTGTGATAGAATTATAGCATGGTTTCTTGTGGTGCACTGGCTGTACAAGTTTACTGTTAAAATGCTATAGATGGGCTTAAAATCAATAGGCGATAAAAGCAGTGATTTTTTGCTCAAGCTCTATCTGTTCAGAGTTCTGAAACATTCTTTTCTGTGGACTTAGCTTTGTGTTTTGTAACGTGTATATTGCTCAAGATTATCTGGTACTTCTATGGCCTACTAATGTATTGCCTAATACTAAAGCTAAAATACAGCAGTTCTGGCAGGATTTAATACTGGAGGGTTTTTTCTTTTTTGGAGAACCTTTGACAAGTATTTCTGACCAATTGAATAGTATTGTACTTGTCCTAGAATCTCCTAAGCAAGTCTTGTGACTCAAATTTGAAAAAGCAGCTTTTCAGAGCAAGCACATTTCTTTCTCTTTGGTGCCCCTCCCCCAGCTTCTGCAACACTGACTTTCATATGTGTTGTGAAAACTTTCTGGTCCTGTAAAAGCAAAGGCTGGACTTTTGTTCAAGTTCATTAAAACTTCCTGCATGTAAAGAAGAGTACTTAATTACAGTCAATTAAAACTTGGAGTAAGCAAGCAGTAAGAAGTGATACACAGGAGCACTTGAAGCAGGTGAAGTGGGGAGGAAGGAAATAAACTAAAATCCTCTCATAGTAAAACTTGAAGTACATACTTAAATTTTGGTGAGTTCCCACCAAAGTCCGGAAGCAGCTTGTACTGCAAGGGCCACGTGTTAGCAAAGTTTATTTTTAAGATTTGTAGAGCTATATTGTTATAGTCTTGCCAGTTGTGCTGGGATAGCTGGTGATGTGATAAATCACAACTTTTTGGAGCAGTTTATATATATAAAGTTTTGATACTTTGAATTGGGCAAGCCAAATACATGGCACGCACTAGAGGGTTAGATCCAACTTGTATCAATGCCAAAAGTTACAAATGGTGTCATTTTCTATAGGTTGAATCAATCGGCAGAAAGCTGTGGCTGATGCATAGGTGTATGTACCATTATTCCTTCCTGAGGCCTTACACAGGAAACAGGCAAAATGTCAAAAACATGTCTCTGAAACCAGATATTTTTGTTTAGCTGTATATCTGCAGGAATTGAAAAATTAACTCCCTTGGTTAAGTATTAAGCTTTCCTGAGAGAATACCTTCAAAATCTGCTGAACCTTAACTTCCATTTAGGTAAAACATTCATCATTGTGATTCTTGAAAGACAGCTTTCCAAGCATAAACAGAATAGATGCCAATGCTGGCTGGACAGCATGGCTTTTCACATGGGTAGCTACTGTGCCTTGCTTGGGGGGTGGAATGCTGGTCGTGCTGTTCAAACCGTAAGCAGCATTGCTGTTAATCAGCTGATGAACAACACGGTGAGCAACTGCAGACTCATTGCTAACGGAGATCCAGGCAGTTAGAACAGTACAACATTTGCTCACAGCGCTGTTCCACTCACAGCAGCTAAAAATCCTTGGGAATAAAATGCGATTAGAAGCTTTTCTCATTTCAACAGAAGATGAACTGCCTGACAAAATTTGACTGATTGTTTATCAGTTGTGAACTCATAAGCATAAAGGGCCACGGCTTTGGTTAAGTGTCACAGCAGAGTTACTTTACATGCTGATAGTCTTGCTCCTCCTGCTGTTATGCATCCTCACGAAGTGATTCATGCTCAAGCCCTGCACAGCTGGAGTTTTTGGTGGAGTCTGATATTTTATTTTATTTTTTTGTTTTTGTGTTTTCTAGTTTCAGAAGGAATACCCTTTAATCTACCAGAACAGATTTCCAACTACAGAAAATGAAGCAATGCTATTTGATAACAAACCTACCATCAAACAACCAGTGCTTAGCCTAAGAAAACCAGGATTTCGTAGCCTAAGATACTAATTTCACCACACCTCAGCTGCTTATTTATTTTGTGGATGTATGTATGAATGATTTGCCAAAGGGCACTTTCTACAGAAGTTTGGTGGCTGTGTGTGTAGAAGAAAAATGTTTACATGGACACTATGTCGAAAGGTGCCAAAATAACTTTTTTTTGTGCAGATAACTTTTGAATGACTGCTAAGAGAGAAATAAATATTTATCTGTTTACAAATTATTACAATATACTATGCTCAGTAAAATAAATGTGAAAATAAGCATGAGGCTATTAGTAACCAAAAATTTATATATGATTTTCATATGGGAAACTAACGATATGCATATTGTTGTAACTTTTTTAATGTCTGTTCAGGAATTTGTGCCGTTTATTACAGTTTATGTAGGTTTTTAAATGTCTATGTTGTGAATAAGTGCCTTCTTTGTATTCCTAAAATACTTGTCTTTAAACAAATCAATGTTCTTTGAGTTTGGGACTAATTTAAAAGTTGGTTCTGTTGTTTCCAAGGGAGCCAGAAATTCACCATAAATAAATGATTGTCTGACTCCATAAAATACTTCTGTTCATCTCATCTGTAAAATTCACATAAATTTTTGTATATTTATTTATATTAAAAGTCTTAGGTCTATTTCTAACATTTTCATGGAAAATTTATTTTGGATCTATTGCTATACTTCTCAAAATAATAGAAGGGATGGATGATAACGTGAAGGGACAACAAATAGAATCAGAATGCACTAAACTTTGCTATTTTGTTTCTACAGTTAGGGGTTTGCTTATTAATTCTGATGGGGCCAAGGCTCCCCCACAAGAGTATAAATCTGCATGAGTATTTCTGTGAGAGAACAATTCAAAGTAAGTGTTTTTATAAAGGAGGTCCCAGTTTAATATTTAGGCAGATACCCTCCAGGCAAAAAACTAAAAAGTCACAAGCAGTGAATGATGTTAGTGTTGAATACTGGGCTTGGAGACAAATGGGTGCTGTTCTCTCCCGTATTTGCATCCATCAGGAAAGAAGCCTGAAATCCTTTTTTTTTTGTTTTCCCAAAGAGACACTAACAGAGTGTAGGTGTAAAGCCTGGGCACTCAAGGGAATTTTAAATAAGATTTAATAAAAAAAATCCCTTTCTTCTTAACAGGGTAAAAATAGCATACTATAGCAAAAAGATGGATGGACCTTTAAGGATTCATTGAAACATTGTTTATATTAAAAGTACTGTCACTTTGGAAAGAAGTCATGTGGAGTTATAATCAGCCAACATGCCAAGCACGAGCTCTGCCATGAGACCTACGGCTATTGCTGCTTGTAATCTAGAAACAGAACTGTTATGTACTGGAAGTACTTCAAGTTCTGGGTATGATAAGGTGTTTTATAGAAGAAGCCCTGCGAGTAGGAGCACTAATGGATCTGCCTCTTGCTCTCAACACAATTCTCTCGCCACCTTGTCCTCTCAGTCCAAGGAGAGGAGAACGTGACATGGGAGGTTAGAAACAGTGCTGGTAAGGGTGTAGCTGTATCTGTGGGCAGTTAGAAAGCGGGGAGATCAGTTAATTAGTAATGCAGCTGAACTGACAATTAATTTGATATAGGTCAGCTAAAGGTCCTTGGAGGAAATGATGCCACCATGTAAAATACAATTTCTGTAAATTCTTTTGTTAATAACTAGTACTTTTTATATATTCCAATACTGTGCCAGAGTAAGGAACAATGTGTATCTCCTTTAAGGGCTGGTGGCACTGGACTTTGTTAGCTGTATATATGCAATTCAGGGTCTTCAGTGTTTACTGTTCACATGTTGCTGTGCTTGAGCTTCTCAGATTGGTCTGGTCACTTGTCAGACCCACAGTCCAAGCTGTGACCTGTCCCTTGCATAACCTAAGCTGATATTCAGGTGGACTTCTTGCTGCATAATGCTTTCATGCTGCTCTTCAGTTAAAGGTTTCTTTAAGCTCGTATCATCACAATGAATAACGTGCCACACACTGAAACCATTCTGCATTTGGAACAGTGCCAAAATTGGGTTTTGTTGTGAAGAATTTGTGTCCATGTTACATTTCAGTTGTAATATTGCTTCTAGATAAATCTTAAACTGTCTGCTTATTTGGGCTGTATTTGCAGAAAAATCGAAGGGATATACTGCCAGTGTTGGATTGCAGAAGAAGGTATGTTTGAAGTCCAACTTTGTTTTCGCTTTAGGGTTTGGGGTTTATCATTAAGCAATTTTGTGCTTTATGGAATCAGCTATTTTTAGAGAGGTGACTGCTTTTTCTTTGTGTGAGCTGTTTGGTTGTCCGTTGTCTTACACAGTTCTGAGCTGCGCAGTGTAGGCGTATCATTTTGCTTTGTCACGTCTTGCCTGTTCTAGGACAAGAAACTGAATTGTTATTGTACCTGCATATGCAGACTCTTACAGTAATTGTCATAAAAGCAGTCATTAAAATTAAAGCAAATCTCGACTACTCATCTCTTTACCTGGTTTGGGTTTGGGTTTTTTGGCATCTCCTGGGGAGCCTCCATAATACTCTTGTACAAGTTCATGTGCTGTGTCGGATACTTTAGTGTTATGAATGAGGGTCTTGGTTGAGAATTGTCACTTATATCTGACATCTTGGTACGTAACAGCTATGGTCTGCAGCCATGGGACTATACTTTGGTTCTCTCAGGTTCTCCTCTCCCTGGAAAAATGAGGCAAAACCACCTTTCTATTCTGCATCCAATACTTAATTGTACATATATATATACACACACAATTATATATATACCAAATTAGTCTTATGTTAGCTTTACGGGGTGGAGGCAGGGGGTGTTAGTGCAGAAATTTATTTTCAGTTAACTGAGTTTTATCTGGCACAATACATATTTTGCAATATATCATTTTGCTCTTTTTCTTATGAGGAAGAAGGCTTTGTAAATGGGAAACCAAGATTAGCCTGGTTTTAGCCTGTATTAGTAGTGCTTTAATGTCCTGTAGATAACTTCACACTTGCATAGCAGGTGACAGATGTTCCTTCTCTGTAACACCTGTAGTCAACTGCTTTGAAAAATCTAGTACCTGCCTAGACTTGCTTCTAATTATTCTCAACCTGTTAAGTGTTGTGTAAATGCTTTATTTATTTATGTGTTCCAGTTAAGCAACTTATTAGGCGAGAAGCTTGCATTTCTTAGGATTTAGCTTTCAAAGGACTGCCCTCATTATTCAGACTTCTTGATCCATGTTATTTAATGTTCCCTTCTAAGGTTTTGACGGAACTTAACAAAAACATGAATAAATAGACAAATTGACTAGCTATGGGACAATTAAAACATTCAAAATGAATGACAGATACAAATTTAACTTTCATCTAAACCTTTCTTTGAGCTATCATTTTGACTTGAGTGAAATTTTTTACTGGAAGGCTTTTATATTTTTTTTTCTTTAAGTATCATACTGCAAAAACTACCATTCTGTATGGGGAGCAGTTCATCCGAAGTGAATCTGCGGTCGCCTGCAATCTGTCAGTTGTGTACGAGGTGGTGTAGTGGAATTGCCTGTCGAGGTTTGTTCTGAAAACTGTCACTGCAAGAAGGGACTCATGGCTGCCTTACACTGACTCGAGAGGAGAAAACACTGTCACGGCCCAGCACTGAACCATCTGTGCTGCTCCCGAGGATTCGGACTTAGGCAATGGTTTTACTGGGCTGAGACAGTAGGGTGGGGTGGGCGAGGGACTTAGTGGCTGGTTCTCAATTTCCAGTCTCTCCCGTATAAAAGACTGTGTGTACTGTGGCTTTTTAACTTCTGTTACACGAGAATCAGGCTCGTGTAAACTGTTTAGACTTTTTAAAAAAAAAAACCAAACCTTTATGTTGGTTTGAGTATTTTAGTTCACTTGGAAGGGACTACATTTATTTTAAAAACATGTTCAGCTGAGATGTAATTTCTAGCACTGGTTAGTTCTCATGAATAGTCTTGGGCAAATGAGAAGCTGTTCACTCAGCATGTGGCCAATTCAGGTGCGGTCACAGTAGGTTATTTGGGTGTTGAATATGTACTTACTGTTTTGCATACAGAGATCCAAAACTCTCTTCTCTTTTGCTTAAGTGTTTTAGAGCTACTACTTGAGATTGCCATCTGCAATACCGCCTGGTCAGCTGGCAATCGGGGGTAAATAGACTTGTTGCCTCCCTTTTGTGCACAGAAAGGCAGGATGAGATGCTGCTGCTTGTGCTTAGCAGTACCTTTTTTGCTAATCAGCGCCAGTAACTCCTTTTTAGTTGTATTAGTTGCAAGGAAGAACAGTTTTTATAATGCTTTGTTAGGTTATATGCTGTTCTTGGTGTTAGTGTGAAACCAGACAAGTCGCCTGGTCTAGTGCTGGCTGGTGTGCAGTGGCATGTGGTGATTCCAAGAAAGCAACTGGTAGAAAACATCTGGAAGGTTACGTGCATAAAATGTTAATGGCTAATCTCACTGTTGAGTCATGATGCAACTGTGTACTCCAAATTTAACTGCATGTGGGCAGGAGACAGACAGAAGTGGCAAAATTAATACTTTTAAGGGGAGGGGGGGGAAAACTGAAAATCACAGGATTGTACTTTCGGTGGGAAGGGACCTTCAGAGGTCATTTATCGTAGAATCATAGAATAATTTGGGTTGGAAAGGACCTTTAAAGGTCATTTAGTCCAGCCCCCCTGCAATGAGTAGGGACATCTTCAACTAGACCAGGTTGCTCAGAGCCCTGTCCGTCCTGACCTGGAGTTTTTCCAGGGATGGGGCATCCACCACCTCTCTGGGCAACCTGTGCCAGTTTTCCACCACCCTCATCGTTAAAAAATTTCTTCCTTGTATCTAGTCTGATTTACTTCAAACCCTGTTTAAAATGGGTCTAACTAAATCAGGTTACTCAGGGCCATGTTGAGTCTTGAATACCTCCAAGTTCTGCAGCACAGACTGTAATAGCGGAGTGCTCTTTGAATTTTATCTTTCCCTACCAGCCTAAAGCATCAAGACCAAAGCTCTCTGAG